GATCATTTTGGTGGAGGAGCCTTCTGCACGATGAGGCAAGGGGTGTTTTTGTCGTATGCATGCCATTAACCTCTTATCGGAAGCTCGGATCTCACATAAGGCTGTTACCCGTCGCCATCATCAGTTCTGGTCTCCTCTCTTCCACTCCACTCTCCACCACACGTTCATTTACCCGTACGATGCAGAACAGTTCAGAGGAGATATTAGATATCTCCGCACTAAACTGAGCACACAATATCTCAAACACACATACATAGTAGTACTTAGTGTACACACATAGAGAACGTGGGAGACAGGCGACTAATATTTAGGATGTTGGATAGAGATGGATGCAAATGCTGATCCCTGTAGTCTGAAGCCTGTATATGATATGCGAATGCGTGCGAGTGGGACAGAGAGAGAGAGAGTAGAAGGGAGAGATAATGAATGCGTTGGGGGCGGCTCTGACTGATAACCACCATCGCCGCCAGCGGCAGGGATCAACTGAAACTATCTCTGGTCCCGAAAATTTGTAGCCCAACTAATTCAAGCACGAACTCAGCTCAACTCCGCGATATCTCATCATCGTTCCATAAAGGACGTAACAATAGCCCTTTCCAAACCAGAAACTAATTGCCGAAAACTTGATTTTACTCAAAAGTGACTAACAATTGAAAGATTATTTGTTATTCAATCAAACAAATAATAAACTAATTGCCGAAAATTATTGAATGTCAGCAAAAACTGAACGATAGAATTATCTCAATTATAAACAATTCGATTTACTTAGAAATTTTTATTGGTCCTAATTTTGGTTAAAAGGCCATCGACCTAAGTTTTTGTATGAAAAGTGTAAATAAGCAGAAAACCGTAACTGTACATAACAAGGGCTGGATATACGATTGATATCATATAAAACAATTTCAGAAAATATTAGTTACATAAATTATGAAGGCAATATAAAAAATACCTCCGGATTTTATTGTTATTGTTAACAAAAAATAATTCCTAAAACTTTGTGTGATTGAGCGATATTTCACGCCACGTTGAAAATAGGTATATATTTACCTTTCTGGGATTTCAAAGAAGAATGACTATTTAGAAAGAAAGTGGGCCATTGAGGTGAAATGAAATAGAAATTTTATATTCTGAATGGTTCTTAAAAATACAACTAGTAACAAGAAATTTTATATGGGAAATGTTTGTCCGTAATAATTGTGCACCTTTCGTACTACGAAGTTAGAAAAACATCTTCAATATTGGACAAAATATTGAATTGAAAATATACTATAAAGTTTTTTTTATGTTTTATTTGTGTATGTAACAACAATTACAATTAATTACTGTAGATTCAAATGGACTCAAACAAATTGAAACTAAATCTTTAATAAACTAATTTATTGCACAAATAATTGATTCATTTATTGCAATAACTCCAATTTTTATATACAAATGCTTGATAAAAAAGTATAAACCTTAAATTATGATTGTTATGAAATTGAAAGTTTCAATGGCAAATAATAACTGTACGTTCATGGTTACTATTATTTTATACGTGGTGTGTTGAAATTACACTGGTTGAGCAGAAGCTTTTTTCTCGTTTCTGTTGAAATTATTAAATAGGACGCAGGGTGGGTTTTCGGTGGGACAGAGACGGAGGTTGTAATTCATAGTTGAAAATTTGATTTCCTTTCGCTTCGGACATTGTTGTTGGGATCGGCGGTGATTTATGGGGGGGCTGGTGTGCGTCGTTCTATATTTGAAAATCCGGGGGGCCACAGCATCCGCTTTTACAACTGTGCACAACTCTCCGCCGCCTCCGCCCCTCTTCGTATATTTCTCACTCAATATCTCTCTCTCTTTCTCGTGCGATCTCAGAGTCCTTGCAGTATTGCAACTACCTAGTAAACAGCATGGATGCACATGCACACCAGTCCATCCATCCATGGCCATCGGGTCGAGCAACGAGAGCTTCGGCCCCCCCTTTAACAATCAAACCGTAATGAATGACTTTACTTCATCAATTAGCCCATTGGGATGAAGCCCGACTGGCTGCGCCTGAATGCCAGAGGGAGATGGCGATGGGCCAGACGGAGAACGCGCGGAAGGCCAATAATAACGACCCACCTTGTTCGAGGAGCTCTCCTTAATTATCTCTTCTTTTATCTCGCTTCGGAATAATAGACGTGCCTTTAAAATTCTTTTAATATTCCTCTGATTGCGGATCGTTCCCTCCCCTCGCCGTCGCTCTCCTCACTCAACGAATAAAATTGAAATAGCACCTCCATCACCATTTCATATTAATTCAACAACAAATTTCAAGTATATGAATCTACCAAATACTAACGATCATTTAAACAGGAAAGGAAAATACATTCTACATTAATTAAAAATTGATTTATTGACGATTCCAAAACCGGAAATATTAATGCTACTGCTTTATTGAAGTAATCCTCACCAACTTCTTGGAAAACATATAAACATTAATAAGAGATTGCTTTAGAAGTATCTGAACAACGGAATCGAAGCCAAAAGACCTCATTTGGCAAAGAATAAATATGCACCATTGCACTAGTCGCATGACTTAACAATTCAATATATTTAAACATCCACACTTATAACTCATTTCAATTTTTTTAACATATTAATACTATATAATTATGCATTTGAGAGATTTGATTTTAATACTTAATTATCTGTAAAATAATTACAGTTCTACTACATTTTTCTCTCAAAGCACACTTAGCACTTGAGTTAAACTTCCTCAGTACACTTAGATCTCAATGCTTTTAATTTTGATATGAACATTTATAGTGCTTCGAACTTCTTTGGAAAATAATTTAATTACCTAAGATTCTCAACGGTTGAAAATCACTGGTCTAAACATTAGACTGTATATATTTTTATTTTTAATAATCTATTTTTACTTACAATCGGCCATAAAGCAAATACTTATAACAAAATAACATTTTTTTTACTGTATTTTAAAAAGTAATATAAAATATTTAAATTTTATTATACGTTTGTTTTATTACATTAAACGTGTCTTAAAACTTCATCTGCCAAATTCTGACAACGAGTAAATAGTTTTGGAACTGCAACAGAATATAACACTGAGCGGAATAGTTTCCATTGAAAACCTTCCAATTATCTAATATAAATAAATATTAATTCTAACAATAAAACAAATAATGTTATACCTTTTTAGTCTATGGGGTGTTTCACTATTGTCTAATAAATTTATAGCTAGTGTATTGGGGTGCTTTTCTAACCGGTTTTGATATCGCTCACTAAACATAGAGATTTCACTTTTGTTTGATTGATAACTTTGATAAACTTTAAAACTGCCTTATATATTAAAATTTTGTTTTCTAGTGACAACTGCGATCTTCTCTCTATTAACCAGTATAATTTAGCGAATTTGATTCCTAATTGCTTACGTTTAGTTGTTATGTGTTTTTTCCATGTAAGCCTGCGATCCAAAATAATACCCAGCTATTTGGCATGATCAATATTATTGCAGTGGGGTGGTTAAAGGGTAGCAGAAATAGGGCAGTAATGATAATAGAAAACAGAAATTCTAAAAAAATAAATGTAATGCAATGACCAGGGGACATGGTACGATGTTTAACAATAGCGAATCGATTACGTATACCTTCGTACTTTCCGACGCTTTGTTCGTTTTCTCCCTCTCCTTTTCCTTAACTTAATAATCCAAAAGCATCAAAGAGCAATTCTTGCATGTTTATTTACTTTTTCATGTCTGAAGCGGAAGCGGACGTGACAATGCGGTAACATTTACGCTCCACTCGAATTGATCCAATTACCTCAAACACGTTTACGCATTATTTTAGTTACCATTAATTAATTAAATAATTAATAGACTGTCCCAATATTTAATCGCTACTGAACCAATATTAGTATTGCAACAATTATCAGGTGTACTTTTCCATTATAATATCAATACAATTACCAAAATTGTCTCTATTCTAATGCGAGTCTATGTGAAGTGACAGGAATAAAATACTTAAGTGTAATTAATTTGAAAATGTTAATGCGTATAGTGAAATTACGATAATGAGTTCTATGCCGGAATAATAAGTATAACTTGGTCTTAATTTTTCATGATTTTGCTGTTAATATCTATGGTTATTTTTATTCTTTGGCTTTTTATTCGGAGACATGCAAATGTTATTAAATTTTGCACAAAAAAAACACAAATAATATGTCTGAATATAAGTTTGGAAATTTTGTGATCACAAACAACACTAAGATGCAACTGTTTTCAAATTCACACACGGTGAAGTGAGTTTATATTTGTTTAAATTACTTGTATCAATTCGGGGACTTGAGATCTCTTTATACTTTTAATATCAGTTTATATAAAAAAGCGTATATAGTGTGTTTATATATTATAATAATGGTTGGTCACAATATATTTGTGTTTTGCATTAACAGCAAACACAAATTATATTTGCAAAGTATAAACCGCTATAAACAAAGATGACAAAGAACATCGAAGATTGTTAATATATTCAAAAATACACATAATATGTGTACACAAGTTTTAAAAATGATGAAGGTGCGCAATCCGGGACTTTTTTCTCATCGTCACTCGTTAAGCGAGTCATTTTTCTTACAATAATTTTGCTCGTTATGCGAGGTTCCACTGAACTTGGCAACAATCAGACATTCATATTAAAATAATATTTTATTTTAATATCAAATAAAAACTAAAGTGCAAATTCAGTAGTCTCAAACAATGCATTTATAAACATCATATTTCACATATTAGACTATTATTAAAAGTTCGTAATACAGTTTTGGTTTTGATTTAGATAAAGTGAAACTAAAAAAAATACGTACCTTATTTTTTTTCAAACAATGAAAATGACGACAATGTTATAAAACTTACTAGAAAATACTGAGAAAAGTTAAAGGTGTAGAAAAAGGTATATCAAATTTATCTAAAAATTAATAGAAGTTCTTTATTGAACCCTGCCATAACCCTAGACATAAAAGAGAAAATGATCTTTCGTTAACATAATAGTGTATATAATTATATATATTTATATATGTATAAGTATTATAGTGTATATGTTTCAAGTAAATATAGCTTCTATGATTTTGCATGACATTACCGCCTACATAGACAAAATTAGTATCAAAATATCATCTTTTGTGAAAAAAAAAATGTACTACGCACTACAATACTTTGTACTACAGTAACAACAAAAAATTGGTAGGTAAAAACGTATAAAATTACACTTCGAATAAAAAATAAAATAAAACAATATTGTTGCTTTCCATTCAGAGACATGATCTAGAATTACTACAAAATTAAATTAATAGTAATGATAATTAACAGATCTAAAATGTGATGAAGATTTTTGAATCCTCTCGACACGAACACATATAACAATAATAATAAAAACACATGGATTTCATCTTCCGGTGGTGTTGAATGGTGAAATAAACGAAACACACATTGCTGACTATTTATTATTTACTAGAACCTCTCTCTCAAGAATAGTGATTGATTAATAATACGGAAACAAGCAAAAAAAAAAACAAAATATAAGAACACTTAATAATTATCAAGTAACTAATGTATTTACAGCTATGGTAATAATAATAATAATAAAAATAAGTTTATGGCAGTAAAAATAAACGTTAAAATGATAATGAAAGATTGCGAATTGTGAAATTAGAAAGAGTATCGGTTCAAAGTGAAAACTGAAAATACGTTTGTTAAACGGTTTCGTATATATTGCAATCCTTGCCCCTTCGCCTTCCTCTTTCAGTCAGAAATACCCTCTTGTTCGTTTTTTTTTTGTTGATTAAACACTCCAAATTATCCACACCACCACTCTTACTTATTGCTTACTACCTACTAGTATCACCCACGGTCGTATCAAAGGAAGGAATTTCTTTCATCCTTGATTACATCATACATTTATATTTGTTTTCGATTTTTTTTCTATGAAATGCTTCTGATTTTCCATCTTTTAGCTTGTATATAATATATATAATTTTTCATTTATCTCTTTCATTTTGTATATATAAACTCTTTTTATAAAAAAAAAACAATTAAAATAAACGCAAACTCCTAATGCTAAGTGTTTAACACTACCGTAGCGAAGGGACAAACCGTAAAGATTCAAAGCACGGCCGCCTCTTCGAGCGGCTTCTACACCAGCTAAATGTTACCGGTTGCATCTAATGCCTGCAGGAGGTCGTCACCTTGTAGCAGGAAGTTGTTTACCGGGGCGTTAACCTCGTAATCCTGTTGGGTCAGGTCAAAGAGGGACGGAATCCCGTCCGTGCTCAACAATGAGATGCCCCGACGCAGAATCCTCTTTCCGCCCCCGTCGCTTCTTTGAGGCTCTCCTATTCTCGCTGCCAACTTTAGCTGTTGCGCCCTCAGAAAATCCTCCAATTCCCTGTCGCTTATCAATCGGTCAGCCTTCAAGTTTTGCGGACTAGACGACATTTCCTTAAAAAACGACAATATTATCATTACAATGAATTTAATTTAATAAATAAAAAAGAAAATAACAGATAAATATATTGCACAAACAAAATAAACAGAAATAGATGTATAAAAGACATTCCAGGTAACTCAACTAAAAAAATACCACTTTGTATCCTATACCTATTCATCATATTTTACTAGATCTTTACAATCCTCTCTAATAAACCTATCTCATAAAGTAATTTCCAAATATCCATTTTTTTTACTATTTTTTATACGTATACATTTCAAATGAATTACTCATCTTATTGAATTTTTATTTCATTTTATATTTTAGAATTGTAGTGTTCTCATTTTATTGACGACTATAATTATTAGGAAGTTTACGTATTAGCTATTATTGCATGTCATTATTTAATCATCTTGTAAACAGATTTGAAGTTTAAATATGTATTTTTGAGAATTATGGATAATTTAAAATAATTATATTTACATTAAACATGAAAATACATGTTCTTATTTTATTTATGAGAGTAGGTAGGAGTAGGATTGTTAAAATAATTGTCATGTTATGTTTCTGTATCTTTATATATTTAATCTATCACAGCTCGCTTAATCCTAAATGTAAAAAATAAAGACTTGTATATACTTATTATAAGAACGTTGCAACGCTCGACTTTTATATAACATATAGATAAAAATATATATTCTATAATAATAGTAACGAATTAGGTGTAATGTTCCGTTTTGTAAACTAGATGTTCGGAGACAAAGTGGCATGGCAGTATATTATATTAACGACTTAATCCCTGAACTTTTACTTAATTAAATCTGGTAGTAATTATGTTTGTGGCTTCTGAGGTGCGAAAATACAAGTAATTTTCGTTCATCTTCCTCTCGACACGTGACCTTAGCTCATTCTCAGAAGGAGCTGTTTTGTTTTCTGGCAAATGTCTTTTATCATTCTGTATTTCTGTATCACTGTTGCTCAGACTCAGAGCTTCTTTCTAGGCGCTAGGCATATGTAGCCCGCTCGGATGTCGAAGCCGCTTACCAGGAGGTTCATGAGAACACTTTCGCTAGGCTGAGAGACACAGGCAGCCTTAGGACCGCCGGAATCAAGCAACCAGTTGCTCTTGCCCTTGGATGCTACCCTGGAACGGTTCCCACTATGCGTGTTATTAGACATCAACTGCTGCAGCAGCTCCGAAGTCATGCCCGATTTCGGTTCGCACTTCGTCCTCTTGTTCGAGGTTGACTCAAAGCTTGTCGAGTTCAAGCGCTTATGGGATTGCATACCTGTGGATGCTACTACCTTCGACAAATCCCAGTTGACCTGACCTGAAATAAGATTTGATTAAATCATCAGTACTATTTACTATCGCATTATGCTACCTTTGTCATAGTAATCATTAAAACTACTTCCTGTCGTCGCAGACGTGTTGTTCTGTATAATGGTTCCACCATGGTCGTTACTCCTGATCGGACGTTTGTTGTTTACTCCAGAACTAAGCAACTGCGCTAGACTGGACGTCGTCTTAGGAGGATCGGTGTTCCTTGCAGGCCTTTCAACATTCGAACTCCACATGAGGTCGTTAGTCAGGACTAACGGCAGGTCTTCGCCCATAGTCATGGGTATATACGGAGCCTTCATATCCATGTCCTCCTCCATCAAAGTCACGAACGATGACATCTGGTCTTCGTCACTGAACGAGTCCGTTGGGCTGTTTAAGGACTGCATACTGCAATCCGAACTCTAAAATATGAATAGTTAAGAAAACCCATCTGCGCTACTGGAGTCTGGAAACTCAAACCTTGACGATGCGATCTGGCGACAAGAGTTGCGATAACCCTTCGTTCTTGTATATGAACGGATCCCCTATGATAGCGGAGTACGAATCGAAAAAGCCGTCAAACAGATTTGTGTCTTCGGACGGCATTGAGCCGATTTGTTCAGTGTTATCGTCCTTCGAGTCTTTCATGTTCACCAGGTTCAAGAAAGTCTCACTGAAGAGACGATCACCTAAACTCACCACCTCACCAGCCTCTGGCGCTAAATATGTTAAATCTTCAGGCTCGTCTTTCAACACTACAAAAAACATCGATCATTATAATTGTCCTCAATTGCGACCATTAACCAGCTTATGCAAACAACCAAACATTCCACTCATTGCCAAATTTCGCTCTTCATTATAAATGCAATTTCTTATTAAAACAGTACATAAATCGGTTTTCGCGTATAATGTATATGGAGAAATACTTAAATTAGGTTTAAATTTTCCATGTATTCATGACTATAAAAAGTTTGCAAAATCCACTTGATTCATTCGATTTGTGTACTCAATTCTAATCAAAACGTAAAACCCCAAATGGAATTAGATAAATTTCTCAAAAAAAAAACATGTTTCCTAATTTGGGGTTTTACCAGGAACGTTGCATCATCATACGGCTTAATAACTTTAATTTTAGCGGGTTCGTTTTTCTTCGCACGTACTTCCTTCACATCTATCTCCTTCCATCGCGTCTACAGGAAGTTCTGCGGTGATCGAAACACTCCTGTCCGTAGAAGTATAATTACGGCTTAGGTAATAATATTCGAAATAACTGTAAATCGCGTACTTATACAACGCAAAGAAAACGAAAATGAATGGATAAAAAAAAGCTATAATGCTGTGGACCAAACAGAAGCTATATCCTTGGAATTCTTGATCATTCCATTTACACTTTTTTACAGTCATGTGCTCTTTTGTACGATATAAAACACTCGTTAATAATATTTTTCAAGTCCAAATTTGTGTTGATAAGATTTTCACAATCGCCGATTTTAAAACGTAAATAAGCTTATTTCGAGATAAACTGATTAATTAGATTTTTCTTCATACAGTTGTCCAAAGTCTCCACCAAATGTTCCAATTTTCATTGAAAATACTAAAATTATTATTGATAAGTGATAGTAATTATCTGTTCTCATAAAACACAAAATATAACTAACTTAAATAGAACATATAAATTGCCTAAAGAAAACTATTTTCTGAGTAAAAGAAACAATCCTAAATTAGGCTATACCAATAATAATCGTATTTGTCAATAAACTACACTTTTTTTATTATCTTTAGTTTGCAATTAATTCAACACCGCAAAAAAAATGTACGAGAATAACCTCGATTTTAGTTTCAAGGATGAATCGATGTTTTTTATGCGATAATTATATACCTGTTACCAGTATTTCAAAGTCTAAAAAAATTGGTATGTGCCAGAAGACACGTTTTCTTCTTGGACTTTTGAATTTGCAAGTAGAAATGTAAAGATTTCTAGTGAAATCACATGTTTTCTCAAAACAAGCTATTACTATTATATTTGCCTTTACTTTGTCTCTAACGAGTTAGTAACGGATATTATTGATTTAAAAAAAAAACATACTTCACTGAAATTAAATGAACTCAATAATTTATTTACGGTGACATTCCATAGAGATTTATATTGAAAAATGTCGTTTAAAATAAACTTTACTACTGACTCTAATTCTATTTTAAAGCTTTGGAAAAAATAACATTTAATACTTGTTTCGCTTCATAAAAGACTTGATTGATACTCAATACACTTGCACTTAATTCATTCGAAACAGTTATAATAGTAAATATGATATAAAATTAATCGAATGAGATTTTCAATTACTCATGAATTGTAAACAGACAATACATGATTTATTAATACGATGATTTCTTGTATCTCTAGATACTACACATGTGTCACTGATAGATGTATGTCATCAGGTGGAAATTTGCAGCACTCACCGAACTTTCAAATATTTTTATAATAGACACCGATAATTTGTAAACAATGCGATTATGTTTCTTTAATTTTCCTTGTTCTATTTTGAACCGTGATTTATATCATCGCACCTTGTTTTTTGGACTGTATGGAATTGTTTGGATCAATTGCATTTGCGTCGTTTGGCGTGTATTATTTATTTATTATGCAATACTGTGAAGGAGGCCGTGCGCTAATTTTAATTGGCGACATTTCAGCCAGGTGTTTATTGCCCTCCATGGGATATTATTGAGATCTGTACTTGAAAGATTCAATGTCAATGCCGCACATATAACGCACTGAATCTCTTTTGAAAACGTTTGGTCAATGCTGCTACTGGTTGTCCGGCTGCTGTTTCAGTGATACTTACTGGTGATGCCCGGTTCCTCATCCGAAAATGTGATATATCCTTTGCTCATCTCCTTCGTTCTGGGAGCGAATATTTTGGAAGTGGCCGTCAGTGGCCTGGGCGATTGTGACGAACCTCTAATCTCTTCCAGGTAGTTTCCTATATTATGGAAAAGCCTCTCGGTGGTAGATTCCGGTTTTTCAGTGTTGGACGAAGGTAAAGTTTGTTGCTCTTCCTCTATAACTTCTGGAACTACCAATTCGGCTGTATCGACGATGTCGTTGATGTTCTGTGGCACGGATATAGTAGTCTCCGTCTTTACATCAGTTGGTGGTTCAGGGGTAGATGCAATGCTGGCGCTAGCCAATTGGAACTCTGCATATATTTCATCTTTGCACTCAATCTCACTGGAAAGAAACCCCCAATTGTTTTCCAAAATTGCGACACAACTAAATGCAGATGTAGAATGGACTGTCCAGAGAGATAGAGAGAGTTAAGAAATGTCACTCGCGGTTTTCAAGAGATACAACACACCCAAGGTAAATAGGTTCCAGTCTTGGATCAAGACCAACTTGATATACTATAACGATATCTTAATACGTATTATATGTAAGAAAGGAGAGGTTTTCGGAGGCAGTTGCTTCGACTGCCGCAGCTATTGTGAGATTGTACGTTCGCTCGTCGATCGAGTGTCGCCTTCCCTCGGTCGTACAACTCGTGATCCGACAATTACGAATCCGTCAAATCGTGTCGCTTGCAACAAACCAGAAACAAATTCCGTTCCCCGATTAAAATAATAAAAAAAAAACTATGAAACAATGCAAAGCGAGTGATTTTCCGCAGCAAATTTGCATGCATTGCATATTCTAATTAAATCCACACAAACGTCCATAATTTTTGAATACTTTAACCCTTTTCATCTGACAAATCCTGCTGAATATCAGTTTTGGACTTAATAATTAAAAACCATCCATTAACTATAAGGGTTGTTTCACTATATAATGACAACATAACATTTGTAAACAATTTAAGTAGATTTATAATGTAAAATACAATTTTATCATTCATTAATGAGACCCGAAAATCGAAGTTGTACTAAATAAGGAATAAGCTCACAGTTTCCATTAATTATTTAAAATTTGTTAAATTAGTTAAAACGTTACTACTTAAAAGTAGAGAATCTTGGTTGCCACAGAGATTTTGCAATCATTTTTTTGTATATAATGATATTTGTATATTTGATAAGACCATACTCCGAAAGTGATAAAAAAATATATTTATTCGAATTAATTAGGTAATCAATTTCCAGATTCGCTTCGGGATTACGACTATCGCAGCGAACTGAAAAATAATCATCTTCATTTGATGCTATTTTGTAACACGCTCAGATCACTTTCGTACAAAACAACATCAGCATCAATTCGAGTGATAACGTTGTTGTTGTTGTCGTCGTCGTTGCCGATGGAACGATGGGCTGATCTCGATTATCGTTCGATGCCTATCATGACCTCCACTTGTTTCCATTTACCAAGGCAATTAAGAAAAAAGTATGTATAATTTACATTAATAACACAATAAAATAAAGAGTTTTGGTATACATTCTAAAGTTGTTTTTTTTTTTAAATATGTGTATAAATATAGCCGTGCTCGAGGTCAAAGGCAATCTGCCAAAAAAAGATTCACTTTCGTTGCGTTTATTAAACTCGGTTTCATTTCGCCGCTCACCATTGCGTAATCAAACAGTGATGCATTTTCAGATGTTTTCAGACATCCGAACTTTGGGACTCTTGCGTCAATCCCCAGATAACATGCCATTTCGATCAAAATTACAAGTGTTTTATTAACAAGAATTACTCAATACGTTGGCGGTCAAAAGGGCTCAAGGAAAAATATCAAAAATAATTCCGAAAAGATCTGCTTAATAATTCTAAATTTGCATTAAGTTAAAAATAGTAATAGTAATTGATATCACATATATATATAGATATATAAAATATACAATTATATAATCAGTAAGAAAATTAGTTTATAGTATTGAGGCAAATTATAACTGATATGTATATAGTTAATATCATTTAGTGTGCGTGATATCTCGATTGCAGGATTGGTAATACGAATAACGAGATGCATCTCTCGGGTTTATGCCCTGATAAGCAAAAACAGTGGCGCGATAATCTCGTTACGCAACGAGCAACGGCACTCGGTCGTCAACGCAACGCGACACTTGTTTTCTGTTCGCGGATTGCGTAACGAATAGCTCGCGTTGATTGCCGTCAATTCAGGCAATTTAGAGGCGAGCTCTGGATTCGGATTGAAAGCGAAATAAGATAAAAAAAAAACTAGAGCGAAACCATGCACTTTGTGCAAGCATGTACAAACCAGCAAGCAAATGTGTGCCATTATTTTTTGGTATCTCACATGACCTTGGCAAAAATTTGGGGGGACCTAATCGGGGAGGAAGAGAGGGTCAAGCTAGCGCGATTATCATCGTATTTTATCAAATTGCCCCGAACGCACGCATTGCGGCAATTGCCAATGAAATCGGTATTGTGATAAATTACCTTTCATTGATTTAAATTGCGTCCGCCTCGATGGGTCAACTGCTTCAAAATGATAATGATGGTGCTGACGCCGATAATAATAATAATAATAAGTATTATATAATAAGAACATTATGCTACAACATGCACGTTTCAATGCTTACTTTCACTAATGCAACTTATAAATGCAGATACAAGTGGATCAATGGATCACACGTTCAATAAATTACGCACTAGCAAGTATTTCTTTTAAATCACGAAATGCATCAAATATAATGAACTCACGAATAATAGTACATTTTGAAAAATGTTAATAAAATAGCAATGTATTTCGACAATTTTTTTTTAAATTTGTAATTAAATTGTTTTCAAATATCTTAATTAACGTAATTAAATTGTTTGATATAATTCAATCAAAATAATTAGTGGGAATTACATAATTAATTTATTTTATCTATTGAGTACGTAAATAATCAAAACCTTGATGGAATAGAAAAAAATACACTTTGACAAGTTTTGGCGAATTACATTAAAATTGTGATCACCAATCGGAGCCGCGCTGCAAATTGTTCTCGTGCAATTTTCTTATTAAAAACAATAACGAGAATGAAATGATTCTGCTTAAGTTTAGCTAAACGATACATTATTATGGATGTTAGGAAAATTCTATATATCGTATTTAGACAATTTGAGTATGGAGCTAGTCGTGTCTAAGATAAAATAAAAGTGCTTCTAGTGATATCGGAATAGACTCTTTGATTTATTGATTGATCATCGACAGGTAATCCATAAAAAAAAATAAAACTCTAAAGATAAGATTAGAGTAGGTGTGGCAATAACGGTATAAAAAAAGATTAACTGGGAGAAAGTGATTCGATGTTCAAATTACAACTTACGGTTGTTCAATTATTGATACATTTTTTTTTGTTTAAATCAATTAATCCACTAATTATATATCTTCAAAGTTTTTGCAGACTTTTTGAGAGTTACTTTGATACTGGGTTCAAGATGTAACCCGATGTTTTCATTAAAATATGCAATGACTACTTATAAGCGGGTAGACCGAAGACCTCTGGTTGGAATTCCAAAAGGCTCTCAAGCACTAACGCAGCACCTTTGCAGAGCTCTCTATTCATCCTTTTATCGGGTATTAACACACATTGCATACCAGCGGCAAGGGCGCCTTGCAGACCGTTTGGCGCGTCCTCGAACACCAGACAATCGCAAGGCTTTACGCCGCACGAGAATCTTCTGGCACAAATTAGGTAGATGTCTGGGCTGGGTTTGCACCTAGTCACCTCGCTGTCAGAACCGCCCATGACGATGTGATGGAAGAGCCGGAAAAAATCAGCGTGTCGACTCGATTTCAAATTGTGGGTGGCCTCACGAGACGAAGTGGCGACCGCAATCGGTATCTTGTGCTTGGCCAGATGCTTGACTAGTCGCTCTGCACCGGGTAGAAGTTCGCTTTTAGGAAGCAGAACATCGAACTGCTCCTGCAGCAGTCTCAGAAACTCCGTCACGTCCACGGGCAGCAGCAGGTCATCGATGATAATCCTCGAGGAATCCATTGCGTTCATTCCTAGAATTTTCTTCTTAATTTCCCAGCTGAACTGCTTGTTAAATTTGGCAGTAACATTTTGGGTCGCTTCGCCGTAGAGCTCCTCCGTATCCATCAGCAAACCATCCACGTCGAAAATGACGTGAGTCACTTTTCGAAATGTCATACTCGCATTACCAGCTAATGAACACCCCGCGAATGGGGCCGTCCGGATCCGAATAGTCCGGATTAACGGTCCAAATCGCAGCCCTCCGATAATAGATATGTTTGTTTACGAGGTTGCCTTTTCCAATCACGTAAGGCTCGCGCCGTTTTATAAACCACCCACTTTTCTCTCGCACGCACACTCTATAAATACGGGGTGTACCAAAAAAAAATAGCTTATAACGCAATAAGGTTAAGGTTACGTCGCGCGGAGTATTAGAAACAACAATAGCAATATGGAAATAAATAAATAAAATAATTCGAGATACGCGATGATGCGCATTCAGATTAATACGGGGGAAGCTGTTTGCCAAATATAAATATAAAAATAACGTACGCTTGTTGCAATTTTAAAAATAGGCCATCGGGGCCAATGTATGCGAAACGTTTAATGTCCTCGCAGCTGCCATCACCCACAGCCAGCAACAAAAATGCAAACAAACTAAACTTTCGTCTTAATGTCAAACTACTAAACACAACTTCAAAGTTTATCAGTTAATATTTTTCCGCGGCGTCCTAAGTCATAACATTGGTCTATCTCATGAAGAAATTTATGTTAATATATCAGAATTTTCACTTTTCGCTGTGCACTGTTAGGAATCACTGAGTTGAATAGTATTTTATCAAAATTCTTAATATTCAATTTAATTGGTTGGAAAGACCTTTGGTCAATAGCCCACAATGTGTATTTTTTATTTCATATATTTAACATAATTATTGTATTAGATTTTGAATGCAACCAAATTTGTTTGTGCAATTGAATATTTGCTATTGCTCACATTTTATGTCACATAGGTTCCATGTTTGTTACTGTTAAATATAACCAATAGTTTTCAATATACTTACGTCGAAATGAAGTGAGTTAACTTCATGGTATAGAATCGTATTTAAGAATAAATACTTTCAACTAACATAAAGAATGTTTATTTGTTCTTGGGTGTGTGTCTTTGTTCTCTCGTTATATTTGTTTCTCTCTCTAAAATTGGAAGTAACCGAAAGGCACGGTACAAATTAAATTGTGCACATATTTTTCAATATAATCACAAATATACGCGTGAATCGAGCTGGAAGCGAAACATTAAAGGAGTCAAGAAAAATTATAGCCAATTTAAAATTTTAAGTGATATCGAAACTGAGTGAGGAAATATATGTGACCATTTAAAATAGAAAATAAATTTAATTTTGGACTCCTTTACAAGCGATACCGCAAATATAAAATAAAGTTCTTACCTTATAACATAATTCACGCAGACGACACTCTGTGGTTTCTGGTTTTTGTCGTAGATAAGCGTGGCCTGAGTTAAAACCCAGGCATAACCTCCGGTCTTGGCAAGGAATCTGTATCTGCTGGTCTCAGTTTGTCCTTTAGAAAATACTAGAAAAAAGAATATGAATTTCAAGAAAAATGAATATGACTATCCCCATTGCTTTTGTTGATTAACATCTATGAGATATTTATTCACAGTGGCTGATATAAATCCTCTAACAGTAACATTACTTACAGCATTTGTAGGCCGATGTGATGACTTCAGAATCCAATGCATGAGAATACGAATAAATCGATTTCCCGATGAGGTCCTCGGGGTTGTATCCCAGGAATTCTAACATTCTGAAAAATAAATAACGAATAAGAACGCTGTCCAAAAGTGTTTTTTTTGGATGTACACACTTTTCATCGGCATACGTGAATGTCATGTTCATATTATGTTTGGTGAGAAAAGTTTGACTGGGGAGCGGTGCTTCGATATTCGAAGGATGCTGAATCGGCTGCCCGATAGCCACAAGACATTTCTTGAAGCTGCCATCATTCGCTGTGGTATTGTTGCTGCTGTTACTACTACTACATCCTTCTGCCGATTCCTTGCTATCATCCACTTCTTGAAGCATGTGCCCAGTAAAATGTATTACCTAAATAAAAATAATGTGTCAGTTTGGTTGCATACATTTTCAGATTCAAATATTATGTCATAATTTTAATTACGATAGCGGATCATAATACAAATACACAACTTGTACCTTGTACACCCGACAAAAATCCGTCATCTATCAGGCATTAGGTTTTCGGTGTAAGTAACATCATAATACAATAATATCATTATGAAACGATATAATTTCATGACGATATTGAATTATTGTTCTGTATAATACATATTTCTATATTTTTATCTTAACTTCAAGACATGTTAGGTCTGAAATATAGGTAAGTTTACTGTTTAGATTAATTAAAAAGTATTTACTTTGTATGTGGCGGATTTGAGGTTGACTGATCTTCCTTTGCTGGTGAGGGTACACTTGAGACGTAGGAAGAACGACTTTGATGTTTCGCCGACCTGCTGCGATTTCGCCGACAAAATGTCTTTGATTTCGTCGTGATCGCACGGGTGGCAATAGTCGTATACATTTTGTCCCATCAGATCGACCTACCAACAAGAACTCAATTAAATTACGTCGTTTACGGTTGGAACAACTCAAAGAGTAATTAATACCGCATAATTTATATTTACTCACTTGCGAGATGCCTAGGAAAGAGTATACGTTTTCGGATACGTAGATGAAGTCGCCTTCGTCGGATAGGGCGACTGCGAATCCGTCCAGCGATTTGAGAACGAGCGATTCCTCGGAACAGGATGCCTCAGTCTCGTCCTTTACCATCTTAGGTTCCGGTACTGAAAACATAAAACGAACATCGGTGTTTCTTTAAAATGAAAACGAAATAATGTACGCTTTAAACTCTAACCTAATTTGATCATGTCCCTGACTTTGAGATAGGCTATAGCGAGCCGCATCACGGAAGCTTTGTCCAGCTGCGAGACCTTATCTTCGGACAAGGGCAACGCATTCGATAGATCCGTGAATATCTCTGTCTCTCGTGACCGGCGGCAACGAGCGGCGTCGCGACATTTCTCCTTTCGCTTCTCATTATTCCTGTAAAACGAAATATAATTTCAATACACATTAAACAAAACACAAAAACATTATTTCAAAAGGATTCAAAATTTGATGAAATAATTCAGAATAAAAATAAAAGTTAAATCTCACAATTAACTATAAACATAATTGGTAACATTTGTATTATTCAACTCGAAGTACCCAATAACAGACATATTAGTCTTCTACGTTATTACAGTATTACGAAGTAAAAAAAACTCTTGGGCAACGACCGATTTCGAGGTGAAATCTCGTTAATAATACCGTCGCTTTCCTTGTTTAATATATTGTGTTTACTAACAGATTCGGCGATCGAAGAGTATGAATAAACAAGCAAAACCGCGGCGTCGAAATCAAGAAAGAAAATAAAGGAGCGCTTCCTGTTTTTGGATACAAGCAAACACTTTTCGCAAATTGAAGTCGCCTTGGGCGGGGATCGCAGTTCCAAGAATATTGCCGGTCCCGTTAATCGTTTTGTAAGCAGCAAGTGAAAGACCAAACGTATAATGATAGGCGCAGAGTGGAAACAAATTTATTAGGAATAGAAATCTGATGTTCGTTTGTTTGCTTTGTTTTTTTCTTCTTTGTGTTCTTACAACCGTGTCAGCTTTCGCCATGTTGGACGATGCCATTTCTGTTCCAATTGACGATGCGACAGGTGTTATGGTTGCAATGAATGAATTTCGGGCACGTTTCTAAACGCGCTCCATGGCAACAACACACAAGAACTTTTACTTTTTCTTTCGGTAGCTTCGTAAGCCACGAAATGGCGCTCTGCCTTTTATCATTAAATCAAGTGATTTATGGTCATGGAAATAAATAAAAACGTCAATACGAATAATGTAACAAAAAAAAACTTATATATATAGATCGCGTCGATTTATCGGCGATTGTTGTTATATTTTACCCTTATCAGAAGTTCGTGTAGATATAATCGCGAATTAAATAACCGTTTCCATTCTATTTCACTCAATCGTCTTTCAGAATACCTATAATTGACGAATTTTTCAAGTGATCCACATTAATACGTTTTTTTTTTGTATTATTTCGATATACTTATCCGGCAGATAACGACATTTTTATTATCCTTGTACGACTCTGGATTACAACTATAATTTTTTGCTTTCCTTTCGTAGAACGATTGTTGCTGTTAATGTACTATTTAGGTCAGCGCAGTTAGTTGAACATTTTAGAGAACTGATGAATGCATTTAAAGAAGCAATTGTATCTCTGAAACCTTCGATTCAATTTACAGCTGATACATAAACAACATAATGGAACGTATTTTGTTTATCCCATTATCCCAATAGCGGCACAAATAAACTGCAAGCCTCTACGAACAAACAGTTTAATTTTAGATCCATTATTCAAGGCTTCACCTCGCTGCATTGGAAACAATTAAGTAATAAGTCCATTCGTTTCGCATGTAATTATTATTATTATTATTAACTAGTTAGTTACCATGGAAACGCTACAGTTTATCGGATGATATAATTATGTAGTTCGACAAAAATGGTGTTTGCTTTGGAAAATCATGAATTAAACATGCTGTCGTTTCTCGCCATTGACCACATCCAGGTCGACTTTGATGAATATTGATTCGCTGTTCTCGTAATTCGGTGTTTCAGGTTTTTCCAGAAACGCCGTTGGAAAAATAAGAACCGGAAACACGGGCGCCGGTCTCAGTTGTCTCAGTAATTATCAAAAACATTAATTAGAAATTATTATTATTATTGATAACAAATTCAACGAAATTTTAAAAAAACGCGAAAAAATGTAGAACATCGCCAGGAAATACATTCTTTCAAACAAGAATCTCGTCTATTTTTAGTCTGGAATTTATAATATACAAGATCGAGTAGCTACGGACTCATTGATCTATTTTAAATCTTTCAATTCATTAGGATGTTGATTTCAAATAGTCAGAGAATCAAAGTTAAACTTCTTCAATTTTGTATAAATATATATTATTATATCCCACTACAACTATCCCAAATTCATTTGGTGAGTAACAGTTTATAATAACTCTTCTTTAATTCCAAGGTGTTTTCCTTTTTTAATCGACAAAAACAACTCCAAATGGACACACATTGTGAATTTTAACTATTGGAAAATTTTGTAAAAATATTTTAATTATGATTTAAGTTCTAAAAATGACTCCAAGCTCATATTTATTATAGACGTAATTAAGTTAATTACAAATTTAAGTCATCCTTATATTAAGATATAAATCATTTTAAAACATTATCATTGCAACAAATACTTATATTATAATCAACAAAGTTAATATTTAAAAACTTCCTACAAATGAAGCAAATGATTGATTTATTTTCTACTGACGCAGACATTAACAAATTGCAACGCATTCTGTAACGCATTCTAATTTATGGTTTACGAAGCAATAATAATTGCCAATTTTGCAGCAACTCTGTTTATTCGTGAGCTCGGCTAAATCAATGAGTTCATTTTTTATATGTTTTTAAAGAATTCGCGAAAGAATCATTCAATCATAAACTGTAGACAAATCAAACAACATTTTCATAAGATGGAAAATGGCCAACAGGAAATGTCGCAATATTAAAAAATTACGTTCAGACATTTCCTTTAATGTCTCACTTACATTTTGGGGGAAAACAAGAATATCGGGATTGTGGACAACCGATTAGAGTTTTTCGATTTTATAATAGCGAGATTAGACTGGTTTCACGTGCTTCCACTTTTGACGTAAAGCGTTTCGAAATAATCTTGGTCAGAGCGTTTTTCGATTTTTTTAAGGCTTAAGTGGTAAACGATGCACGCTTCCTTACATGAAGTCTTCCATATCGACAACAGTTACAAATTGACAAGAAGTGTAACATCCCTCGGCGTAGTAGTTGTAACACTGTTTATCATAATCCCAGTTTGTATAAGACTGGCATGGGAGGCTGAGGCTGGCGGCGACGGGACCCATGGGTCTCGCCGCCGTGTACACGAATTCCTGATGTTGCTGCTGCTGACGATGGTCGCCATAAACTTCGTTAGCATGGAAATCATCATTATGACCGTACCAGCATTCAGATGGCGCTGGCTGGTGGTACGTAAAGTCCACGTTCTCGTTACAATTCATCCCGAGCTCAAAGCACACGTGATTAGATTTCGCAAGCGAAATCACAATCCAAAACAAAAAAAAACAATAACAACAAAGATCAATCGATCACATAATCTGGACTTCGTAATCCGCAAACACTATAGCATCGCTTAAATAAGCAATCAATTACTCCACTTAGATTTTCTTCTCTCGGAGTATTTTTTCGCTTTCCCCTCAAAGTTTTCATCCGCAGGTTTTCCGATCAACCTCCCCTAGCTCAACGCACGACCGAAACACGAACTGCTTGATTGCTGCCTTCTATTCGCTCGTGCCAGTCGTCTCTCTTTATCACTATCTTATCTCACGACAACGTATGTTCTTAAAATGTATCTGTCGCCAGATATTCAAATACCATCTAATATCGTAAAGTGCGATCGCCGACCACCACAACAACCTCCCTAAGTTAAAACAACCCCTAAGAAAACATACTAACCAATGATAAATCAAAGTTACAGATTTCGAGTATTGATGAATATATCAAAAGATTAAATATAGAATTCACAGGTGACTTACGTTTTTCGAGGATTCCTCGGAATCTCTAACACCGTTGTCGGGCAATTCAAACACATCGAGTTCGTATTATTGTCTCTTAATTCGATTTCGTGGTAACTACTGTTATCGTCCTGTTAAGTAATATGACTTAAACGCTAAGTCGTGTACTGCTGACCGACGAACGCGTCGATTTGGAACTAGACGGAATCTGCACGTGAAGCAAATTAATGACCGCCTCTGTCTGACATACAGAGTGACGGCGTCTTGGTTCCAAGAGAAAAAAAAAACGATAAGAATAATTAAAGTAAAATAAAAATTTAAATTTAAAAACAGATGATATACGCTGTTACAACAACAAACAAAAGTACGTTCTACGAAATGATTACTTTCGGGAAGATTTATCACATATAAAAACTGGTTTTAACATTATGAATAATATCTTAATTAAATATATGTAATTCCTATCCTATTCAGTAAACAAACTAGAAGCATAATTTTTTAATTTAAAAACGAATTAAGTAAATCACAAATATTTCATATCCAATTTAATTTCATATATAAAATAACACTTAAATCTTTCAGCCTTTTAATTATTAAACACAAACATAAATTAATTATAATGATGTTATAATTAACTATAGATATTTTTATTGTAACTATATTATTGATATCAGAATAACTTTTTAATTTCATTTGATGTGATTCGAATAACTTATCAAAAAATAGATTATAGTTTATTTCAACACTGTTGCAATATGCTATACGAATAGTTCCTAAAATAGTCCCATAAAAATATAAACTCGCTTATGTCCAGATGGGAACCAAATCAATTCATTATATAATTCGAATTCAATGTAATCGAACGCTTCAATTTATTTATGTTTTATGTTTGAATTAATTTCAATACTTTTGTTTGCATTCAGAGCGTCTCAGACGATCGTTTTATCGTTGATCGATAAGAATTTTTGTTTCCAATTTTTTTTTAGGATTATATTTGATATTTAAAATAAATATAAATGCACCAAACAATAACAAAAATACGTTATCCTCTTTTTTTATCCATTTAAATTGTTTTGTATTTTTTAATAATACATGTGATATAAGTAAGTAAATGAAAACATTATTCTCTGATTTTAGACTATTCAGTAGGTAATATGCAATCAGTTAATGGAATACTCCTCAATTAGAGTCGTAACTATATTAATTTAACTCGAAATTGAATGAATCTTCTACCAGTGGTTCGTGGACCACCGGTTGACGACCGCTGGTCTAGAGCAGCGTTTTCCAAACTGTGAGTCGCGCCATAGATTGGCTATCTATAATGTGGGTTGCATGGTTTTTGACTCTATGGTCTAGAGAAGTATTAAATGCTGTTGTTGAATCATTCTTTTCCATTATTATTTTACAACACTTTTGGATGCAACGGAAATATAAAATGGCTTCGCCGCTCCATTGAATGCAAATCACATATACACACATGCACTCAAAGGCAAGGAAAATATGTATGCTGTTTATGTGCCATGAAAGTCAATCGATCGAATTATCGACCGAATTCTATCAGGTTTTGATTACAATAAGTCAAAGATAAATTCGATACGAGCATACATTATACTCGATTAACTTGTATACTTCTATTATTGGCAATGTCAATTAGAGATGGCGACAGTTGCAATTTACTAAATGTATTACACAATAGGAATATTGTTATATGATTTGAAAGTCTGACGCAGAGAAAATGTCTAGAAAAACCGATACTGAAAACTGGAATCCGATTCGCTGGAATCTTTTCAGGTCAATTTGGGGTCACCACTTTACACAGCAACGATACTTCAATTTATAATAAACCATAACATTTGTTCAATTATATTTGATTTTGATTAAATGTTATGAACAACTTTTTTGTTGTTGTCATATACTTTATTTACAAAAAGTATACTTATGATATTCGCAACTGTGATGTAATAGTTTTTTTTTTCGAGCAATAGTGAATTTTCTAATTTTAGTGAAAAGTAAGATCATATTGTATTAATTGTACGTATTTCAATCTTATTTATTTATTAAGTTACTATATTACTTTAATAAACGTGTTTGAAGAAAAAAAAATCTTGAAGAATTTTTAATAAAAATATTTATAGTCTTGGTATAAAAATAGAGCAATTAAATTGCAATATAATCTTTAATAGGGAATATTTAGCTGTCAGTGTTTTGCCTCTTATAAAATGTGCAAAAAATATATAGGATTAATCATATAATCGCGTTTATTTTAAGACGGAAATGACATTTAAATTCATTGTACGCAGGAAATGGTATAAACTACGCATTTGATAGTATACAATATTAAAAGCACAACTAGAGATTCCATGGCCATATAAAGTTTATAATTGTTAATAATCAATATAAAATATGTCAGACAAACTTCAATGAAATAATAACACACAATGTAGTTCATATAAATCATGTGCTCCAATTTCATATTTAATTCATATTTAGAGCAAACCGCAATCGGCTGATCCAAGTATGTTTGGTTGCATACATTCGTACCTTTAAATAATTGTGTAATAATTGTACATTGCTCAATGATCGCAAACTAATGGATCATCTCCATGAAATGTCTGCTGATATATTTTCAGAAGACCAGCTAAAAATAAGTTCTTCCTCCGATTGTGTCGGCGGGATCACGCGGAAAATCACATTTCTACCGGGACCCCCAGAAATAGACCGGAGTCCCGTGTCCAATACTCAGAACTTATATAATTACAACATATTTTTTTTGTGCTGTTTCTGAAAGTCCGGTAGGAAGAAGAAATAACCGTTCGCAGGACGTGCCGTGTATCTCGTCCATCAGTTAATTGGAGTGTAACTCTATGTAAAATCAGCGCATAACTATACAGCTGTTTCCGCGAATACCAGATCCAAAGTCTTCTACGAACTCTGATAACGTAACACGAATGATAATTGACATTCTAATGCTGCCCCGGGCACTCATTTAATCTATCCGTATATTTATTTATGAATGCTGCAATTTGAATTCGCACGCAATCCACGTGTTACCAAGACTTTCAAAGAGAGAGAGAGAGAGAGGACGGAAAAAAACAAAACTCAGGGTTTCGTGATCAACAAGTGGCGCGCTCTTCTCCAGTCTGATGGATGTGCAATTGTTTATTGTTCGTTCAGGTAGATTTCAAGAGGTTTCCATCAAATGAATGCAGAAACTGAGAGGAAGAGTGCGTCACGTTCTGAGAGGATTAAAATACCGACTACCATTCCACGAAACGTCCCATGATCTCCTTCATATTGGAAGACTTAGGTAAAACAAGTATAATGGAAAGTCGTACCTTTTATGGTTCTGGACCTTTCCCTTCTTGTCGGATCCCAAATCCCTTTCGTGTATAACTAGGCACATTGTTCTAATCCTTCTCTTGCTGATACTTCACCGTATAGCAATTTGATAATTCTTTATGAACTAATTAACGCCACATACGTATAGCTCTCTCTTTTTAACACGCGTAGAACCGGTTTACAACTAAACGCAACGAACAGGATCGGCGGTATAGTGTATAATGGCGGAGGCGGCGGTTTCGAGAAAGTTTTTTTCATGTCTCTCTCTCTCTGCATATCTCTCTTGCGCAATTTTAGTTAAAATTCGCGGAAACACGTCTGTTCTTTTTCTTTGACTTTATTATAATTCGATACTAACGTCACTACACTTCCTCGTAATTGACTTATTGTTTCTCTGTCTTCATTCAGTTTGATTTCAGTATTACACATCCAGATCCAATTGGTTAAATGAACGAAATAATACAAGAAATAAACAATAATACATTCTTAATATTGGAGAGAAAATGGCTAAAGACTAAACTATTTTTTGTGATTCAATTTTAATTATACAATATTGCAGGGGTGGCCAAACTGTGGCTCTTCAAGAGTCTTGTTGAGCCACAACAAAACACAAATTTTATATATATTTTATATTATGATTAAGATTTTTTTAAAAATTATTATACCAAAAAGTTTAGGTGTGGCTCTTGCTGCAAAAACTCTGGCCACCCCTGCTATATTGCAATTTATTAAATGAATTAAGACTTATTAACTTTAGTTGCTAATTGGATACAGAAATACTGAAATCTGTATTTGCAGTTTCTTTCCATACAATACAAATGTTATTTTAATACACTTTTTAGAAGTATACGTTAATTTATTAATTACGTAATATTTGGCATCGGTCTACAATTATTGATTTTTTTAATAGATCTTACCACATACTACAATCATTAAATTTTTTTTTTCCTACAATTATCCATCTTAACAATCATTTTTACGTCTTACTAGAATTACATCATATTCTAGAATGATCACGACTGTATGATTCTGAGAATAGCGATTTGATATCTATGCATACAAATATTATCATTTACCATTATCAATTAAGGAAATCAATATTAACATTAAAATAAATAACTAAACAAATAGAAACAAAAAGATTTCTTTGGAGTGGAAAGATCTAAGATGATCACTTGTTTTATTTTTAAATAAAAGTTCATTGAATTTGAAAATGTGGCAATTTTAGAAGTATCCACACCGTGGATGCAGTAAATAAAATGTTAATAATACATTCAATTATTAGATTTCTTAATGGCATGTTTTCGTTTAAATTAAGAAACCAAATA